CACAAAATTACATTTACATAAAGAATACGATCTCTTTTAAAATAAAAAATAAGAATATACTAATAAAATCTATGATTTATAATAAACTTTTAAAATTTTAACAATTTAATTAATATATATTTAAAACATTTATTTTTGTAAACAAATAATATATATTCTTAAAACAATCCTACAAATCTCAAAAGGTAACAAATCGTGAATAATACAATTTCTAAAACATTTTAACAGAATACTCTAGAACTTTATTTCGCTTAATCAGCGTATTTTTTGAACCAATAGTATTAGTTTGTTTGTTAATTTGGTGGGTTTTTAGTGTTCGCAAAAATTCTTTTTATTCTTTCGCACAAAGATGTTTTGAGAACATTCAAGTTTGTTATGTTTCCATGTATGTCCGTAAAACAAAAATTCTTTGTTTTGTACATAAACTTAAATGTTCTCAAAACGACTAAAAAACCTGGCTAATTTTACGCAACTAAATATAATTTCCGTGGTCAGTATTCAAGAGCGATCGCTCCCGCTTCCCGACCAAGCCTGGAAGCTTAAAAACATCTATCTTTTTCCCTTAAAAACAAATAAATTTATAAGTAACTTTAAAAATTTGAACTCTATAACAATCACAGAATATTTGAAAGTACTTTAAAGAGCACAATTTAGTTTTTTATTTTCCCTCAGGATAAAAAACTCAATTATCTCTTTATTTCAAGTCTTTTTTTTAAATTTTGCATTGTACATTTTGTTTGATTTTGCAATAACAAAATTTTAACTACAATAAAATTATAGTTGCTGTAAGTATCCTAATTTTAACTAACTTTTAGGACAAGCCTAAAAACTAATTAATAATTTAAAAGTAAAGTAAAATAATTGGGTTTTCCATGAATTTCTAAAATAAAAAAAATAGAAAAAGCAAAAACTCAAGTATTAGTGAATTTCTTTGATTTAAAAGTGGAATTGAATAGGGTTTGTCCATAAATTATGCAACGCTAAATTTCACTAATAAACAAAACATAAGAGATCAAAAGTTTTTTTCAAAAAGTTTTGTCATGTAAAAGAATTAAATATTATCTACTTCTTTTTTTAAAATCAACTTTGCATTGCAAAATATATAGACAATCCCTAATTGAATGTTTAAACACTTGTGAAAACAACTTTGAAAAAGATATGAAATTTATTACAAGAATAACAACATTTATCTTCTTCATCAGGTTTTGAAAGTTACTCTTGAAATTATATTATGAAGAAAAAATTAAAGTTGCTTTAACATTCGAAACTTGACTGAGCTGCACATTTGTTTGAAATTAATTCAGCGGTCAGGAAGATATTTGAGAAACTTTAATAATTTTTAAACTAACTTTAATAGATAGTTTTGATTAAACTTGCCAAATAAAATAGTAACATTTAAACTAAACTATTGTAAGTGTAGTAAAACTATTTAATGTTTTTTAGTTGTAAAATAAGCATCATTACCTTTTAAAGAAACAAAAGATAATAATGTTGGAGTATGATTAAAAGTTTTCGCCAGATATATTACTTAAATATACACAATAATACAAGAGAATACACATAAAATATACACATAATAACACAAGAGAAAAATTTAATTTTTTCAAACTAAATCTTTATATTTGAGAAAAAGACAACATAGCTGTTGTAAATATAAATTAAAATCTTTGAAATTATATTATTACTGTTTAAAAATGTACCATCTATAATTTTAAAACTATATTTGTAAATAAAAAAAAGAAAATAACTAAATTCTTATTTAAAAATTACTTGCAAATAACAAGTTCCGCATCTAAACTTTGTCAATAAAGTTCTTTAAAATAGCGATCTTTAGATTAAATTTTGTCTTGAGTAAAAAGGACAAAATCTAATCTAAAAATAATTTTTATGAATAAAATCTTTTAATATTGTAAACAAATACTAAACAATCATATACTTAAGAAATAAAAATTATAACTTTTATGCCAACTTAAAAGTGACTTAAACTACTCTATTATTTACAATATTATTATAAGCACATTGTATATTATTAGTAACATTATTATAAGCATATAAAATATTATTAATAATATTATCATAAGCATATAGTATATTGTTAATAACATTGTTATAAGCTGGTTAAATTTGAAATGTTTTGAGTGAAATTTTAAGTAGAAGTTTACTTACACAACTTAGATTCTAGCTATCTAGTATCAGAGTGCTTTAAATAAACTTTTACCAATTGTTAAGTAGAAATCGATATAAATCACTTTGATTCAAGCCAGCTTATACCTTTTAGGTATATCACAAATTGGTTTGTAAAGTTGGATAAACTTTATAAAACTATATATTCTTAATATCTACACACTTTTTCGTTAATTGCTTTTTTCGTGAAAATTTTGTAAATAAAAATTAAATAAAAGAATTTCAAAACTTTAAACACATGTGTAATTATATAGGCTACTGATATCTATTAGATTTACATAAATTTACTTCTCAAAAATACAATTTTGTTTTAATA